GAAAAGGGGTAAAAACAAGAAGGAAAAGGGTTAAAGATGAGAAGAAAGGGGTAAAAACAAGAGAAAAGGGGTAAAAACAAGAAGGAAAAGGGTTAAAGATGAGAAGAAAGGGGTAAAAACAAGAGAAAAGGGGTAAAAACAAGAAGGAAAAGGGTTAAAGACAAGAGAGAAAAGGGGTAAAAACAAGAAAGAAAAGGGAGGTTTTTCTTGCTTTCCAGATTGTGGGCTTTGATGATTTGGTTTGATTTTTCGCTTCCAAATTCCCAGCATGAGGTTTTTGGTTTGACTGTTCGTCCTTCCCGTTCTTCCTTCTGCCACTGAAGCAAATCCCAGTTCCCTTGGAGTGCTGGTCATCCAGGAAATCTCTGCTTGAGACCTTTGGGAAAGGTTGCTGCTTCTGTGTTAATGACATTATACACCTGCTGCCATGGTGATGTGGAGCAGATGTGAAGCTTTAGGCCTGTCTGTTTTCACTTGAAAGTGTTGCACTGCTTGGAAATCTGCTTTTTTATAGTTATTCCCCATTTTTTCCAGGTGGAAATGACACCTGCTTAGCCACGGTGTCCATTGGGTTTCCATTGTAGCAATTCCCTCTGCTGGACCATTGTCTCTGGTTGGCATTTTTGTTGCAGAGTAAAGCACGAAAATCTATTTATCGGGGGACTCAAGGGGTTTTCTCCCTCCTTGGGTTCCCCAGATGGGTCATTGTAGATGTAAACCTGCCCAGCAGCGTGTTCAGAGCTGGTTTTAAATGCCTACCTGTGCAGACAGGTGCCCTGGGTTTAAAATAGGCTCTAAAGCCAGCACCAAACACGAGGGGAAGCTGCTTAATGCAGCTTAAGGGTAAGATGCTTTTGTGCCATGAACTGGCAGAGATTTCAGCGGCTGAAGCTGATGAACAGAACAATCAGCACGAGCAACACCTTCTGCATCACCTGGGCATCCTCCTCCTGCCTCCCTTCTTCCCCTGGAGCCTGGATGGTGCCTCCCTCCCTTTCCTTTTCCCTCGTGGAGCTCAGATACCTGCTGTGGAAAGCCTTGAGTCCCTGCTGAGGGACGGGGGAGGATTTCTGTGCTGGTGGGTGTGTGTGTGTGAACGTGTGAGGGACGTTCTCAGCATGGTTCTGATCCAAGGGTGGACTCAGTCGCTGCCTCTGGGGGCACAAAACTGGCTCCAGTGCCCAGGGAAGGCTTTTCTGAGCCCATCATCCTGTGCTGAGGGTAAATACGTGCCAGGATGTTACTATCCTGTATTTAAGGAGTTCCAGCTCAGTCAATGAGAGGCAGTTTCCCTTGGTGGGAGGTGTGGTAAGAATTGCCACGAGGGAGCAGGGACAGAAAGGGAAGGTGAGGCTGCACTTCATCTCTGCTCCGTGTTGGCACATTAATCCAAGTAGTATTTGCTCATCTGGGCTGTCCTCAGCTCGAGTTTACTGCTGACTTCCATTCTCAGTGCTGTTGTGTCCTGTCTCGAAGGAACCCAGAGAGCTGCAACACTCCAGCAGTGACTCACCCCCTGCTTTCTGACCCTGGCTCTTATTTTTGCCCTCACTGTTCAGGAGCAGTGCTCAGAAGGGGTGGGAAGCCACGTGGATCCCGCTCTGGAGCGCTCATGGAGAGCAGGGAGGAGATCCCAGTGCCAGGACATAAATTGACATTCGCTCATTTTTGGCCGGAGCTCCCCGGCTTGGAAGGGCTTTTTTGAAGCCGTGTTGCAATAGTAAAGATTTTTGTTGTCTGTTTTGGGTCCTTTGGGGAAAAATGCTGGCAAAATTGGAGCTGATTCCGGTCCATAAATCAACAGCTCTTTCCTGTGGAGCTCCAGGTCCATGTGGATGTTGGTGGTGGTGAGCCAGGAGCTGTCACATTGAGAGAGGTGTTCAGAGGAAATGTGAGCACCTAATGATGCCTTTTTGTGGTTAGATGGCTGAGCTCTCCTAATGACACTGTCTGGAAGAACAGATCCTCAGTCCTCAGCTGAAATCCATCTTTTCCAGGGCTTCCAAATGTCACAGGCCTCAAGGAAATCACCAGTTCTGCTGGAAGTTTGATTCTTAATATCCAAGGAATACTCTGGAAATGCAGTTATTCACTGCCACTTAAATCCTGAATGGTTCAGAGAGATTCCCATTGTTTCTGTCCATGATTATCATCCCGGGAATAGCTGAGAAAAATCTGATTTCAGGGCAGGCTGGTACCTTTCACGTGCTGAATGAGTAAGGGGAGATTTTGGTGGCAGCAGGGCTCTCCACTCCCTCTGGAAATCCATGGGAATTGTGTGCCTAATTCCCATTTGTGCCTTTGGAAAATCCCCTCGTAATTGACTAAATGTTTGCACTCCTGGCTGTGGGCACGGTGGCACAACGTGGCTTTCAAACCATCTGTTTTCATGGACTAAAAGCCACTGGCAACAAACCTTGATTGGCAGAAATTCGCCAGGGCTGCTTTGCATTCGCTGAGGTTGCTGAGGACAAAACCATAAAGGAAAAGTGAGGCACAGGAGAAAGGGAAATAAAAAGGGACCACGGAAATAAATGAGCTTTGTTCCAGCGTTTGAATGGACTTTACTCATTTATCAAAGGACTTTCTTCTGGCCTTTAATGTTTCTGAAATAATGTGTCTCGTCTTTGAGTGCCCGACGCCAAGAAAAGCTGTCAGCCACTCCAGCAATTATCATATCCCAGAGGGAACCTGGTTAATGATTTCTCTGCAGACAACTTGGTCTTTCAGTTTTCGTGCTCTGCCAGAACCATTCCAACCCAGTGAAGCATTTTAGGATCGGGTTTGATTCTTAATATCCAAGGAATATTCTGGAAATGCAGTTATTCACTGCCACCTCTCGATGCTGAGCCTGCACCTTAGGAAATTCAAATTACAGGGAGCAGCCATAGGTAAAGCAACACCCAGAGAGAGGGAAGGTGGCTTTCCCAGCTTGTGGTCTGAAATTCAGACCTGTACATGCAACAGGTTGGTGTTTTTGACATTGGGGACAGCACAGGCTGTGCCCTGAGCATCCCTGAAATTTGGTTCTTGATTTGTGTTCAAGCTTTGTTCAGCTGCTCTTTGAAAACCATGGAGTGGTTTGGGTTGGAAGGGACCTTAAAGCTCATCCCATTCCACCCCCTGCCAGGGGCAGGGACACCTTCCACTGGACCAGGTTGTTCCAACCTGGCCTTGGACACTTCCAGGGATGGGGCAGCCACAGCTTCTCTGGGCAACCTGTGCCAGGGCCTCCCCACCCTCCCAGGGAAGAATTCCTTCCCAACATTCCATCTAACCCTGCCCTCTGGCAGTGGGAAGTGACTCCCCCTTGTCCTGGCACTGGGTGCTCTTGTAAAAAGTGAGTTGGGATGTCTTGGCTGGATGGAGGAGCTCAGAAACCCCCAGAGCCACGGATGTGACACAGGGTAGGGACAAATCCTGTGCTCCTGAGTTTTTCCAGGCAGGCCACAGATGCCAGGGCACTTCAGCACAGAGAGAATATCACTGTGTGAGTAAAGAGACCCAATTTTCCCCCTCTTTGACAGGGAGCCAGCCCATCCATGTCTTTGTGCTCACGTTTCCCCCTTTATATTAAAATAAAATTCCTTTTGCAAAGGGATCCTTGTGAAATCCTCGTGCTCTTCACGCCATCCTTTTCTCCTTGTCTTTGCTGTGGCAAATCCCCAGGCAGGGGTTGTCTTTTCTCAGGGTGCTCTGAGTGCTGAAGGCAGCGAGTGCTTGTGGCACTCAGCACTTCTGTGCAGCAGCATGAAAGAGGCTTTAAATTAGGGCAGTTCTGCCACTCTCCTGTGCAGTTCCCGCTCTCCATTCATCACTTCCCCTTTTTGTGGTGCTGTTACTGCTGGAAGTCACTTGCCAAGAGTGTGAGGATATGAAGAAAACCTCGTGATGTGACTCCACTCGGTTTCTCCCTTTTGTTCATTTTATTCTGCCCTGTGTGGGTTTTATCAGTGATAAAATTACCTCATTTTCACGTATTGCTAAACAGTTTACCTGCAGATAAGTGTCCAAGTTGTTCTACTCTGCATGTCCCTGCAACTGATACTTCAAGAACTAATTAATGCTCGTTACAGGATCAGAGTGAAGAGCTGCTGCGTGGAGACTAAATGTGTGACTCCAACTGCCCTGGTTCGTTTCTCAGGTGGTGTTTGGGTAACTCCAGTGTTTCTCCACCTTTGCAGGACCAAGAATGAGCTGTTTGCTGAGGAATTTTCATATTGATCCTGGGTTTATGAATTTCAGAGGAGGGTCACTGTCATTTTCAAAGCGATTTGTGTGGTTCTCAGTGAAAATAGGCACCCTGTGGGATTATTAAACACACAGGTTATCAGATCCCAGTGATTTTTCAGCAAAATGTGGTTATTTCCATGCTTGGAGCTTGGGCAAAAAAATTGCTGCTTTACTATGTTACCATCCAGGAATTGTGCTATGTAGCTGTAAACTCAAACTGAAATATAACTTACGTGCCCCTATAATCTTTTTATGATAACAAAATTGATGGGAATCTGATCTGTCTGACTGGGAATTCTGGGATTTTAAACAAGACCTGTGTGCCAGACGTTATAGAGGCTCAATGGGACTCACAGGGACAATAAGTTTCTGTGTCTAGTCCCAAAATCAGAGTGATTTGGAGGGTCTGAGTTCTCAGTGCACTGGCTGGTGCAGCTTTATTCAGGATAACACACTTTCTGGAGGAAGAAATTCCTCAGGAATAGAGCTCTGGAGTCATGTAGGCACACGGAAATGTTTCAGTGCCAGTGTAACAGAAGTAGTACAGTTTGCTGGAGCTGGGCATTGCTCAAGATCTGATACTTGAGTTTCACAGGTGGAAATAAAACCTTTTTTAAAATTCCCTCCTTTTCTTTCAGGGTCCATGAAAGGAGCACAAAGGCAGAGGGAGGATTGTACAGACACCCTGTGAAGCACCCAAAAAGGAGAATACAAAGGAGGATGTCTTTTAGCAGCTCAGTGACTCTTTTGGGGTGCTTGAGTTTCCTTATGGGTGACAAATCACCTTTGCTTTGACACCTGAGGCCAGTCAGAGACTCAGCAGATGTCTTTGAGATGTCTTTGACAGACTTCCCGTGAGCAGGACTGGAAATACAAACCCCAAATAACTGAAGGCACTGCTGAGTGTGTCCTCAGGTGCCTGTGAAAAGGGGAAACACTCGGACATGGATGTTCAGGGTCTGCTTGTTGCCCATGTCTTGAGGGGTTGTTGTAAAAGAGTCAGATCTGTCTGGCAGGAAACTTGAGCTTTTGGGAGTGACCTTTCTCAGCTCTGAATGGTTGGAGGTTCAGCTCTGCCTGCAGGATTTATTCTTGTCTGGGTCCCCTCCCAGCCTCCGTCTCGCTGGCAGATCATTCCCTCCCATCCCTCCCCAGCCCCCGTGGCCATCTGAGCATCTCCAGGGCTGTGCCAGGAGATGAATGAGCTGCCTTTCAGCCCAGCCCTGGAAGCCACTGCCTGCATTTCAGCAAAGTGCAGGACGTGTCAGCACAATCACTTCCAGGCTTTGCTCCGGCTGGAGCCTCTGTCAGCACTGGCTGCAGCTCCTGAGCAGCGATGCCGTGGCAATTAATATTTATAAACCCTCAATAATACAGCCCTTGTGTGTACCTGGGAGACCATCTGCTGGCCTCCAATCCCCGACCAAGCACCTGAGATCAGTGTGGCCGGTCCCAGAAGGGGAAGGAGGTGGGGCTGTGCCCCTGGAGAGCCTCGGATTCCTCCCTCCTTCATTAGTTACCAGAGCACATCACCCTCATCCTCCAGGGCCAAGCTGCAGGCTTATTCCTTTCCTTTTAGTCTGGAGTCTTTTATCACTGTGCTGTGCATTTATTACAGGCCTTCACTTAGTTGTGACCTTGGCTTTGGTGGTTTTCCACGTTTTGGTACAAAGGCCTTGTCTTGGGTGTGGTTTGCAGGGAGAGAAGGCTCCGAGATTATTATTTTTGAAATGTATCTTTATTTATTGCTTTTAGTGTTTTGAGGTGTTTTGGGGTTTTTTTTGTTTTGAATCTTGCAAAGGTGCTTAGTGGCCATTTGGACACAGATGCTTCTCAATTAACAATTAATGTATGCATGTGCAAAGATGCAGATCAATGAATAATGCATAGTAATAACCAGCTTGGCCGTGGGGTTTGGGCTGCAGGAATATTACATATGGATTAGCCCAAAGGCCCCAGATCACACGTGAATAGCGTGTATCAGGTGGAGGCAGCCCCGCTAAACCCGCTGTGTGCTGCACCTCTTACCTTTGTGATGAAAATGTCTCTGCTCCCACATCCGGAGGGTCCCCCGGGGTCCGGTGGGCTCTGCCCAAAGCAGCCCCTCGGGAATGACCACAGCCCTCCCCCCGCCTGGAGCGGCTCCTTTAGGGACAAACCCCAGGGAAGAGGTAAAAGAGGACCCCAGACAGGCGGAGCTGGGGTGGGTTTGGAGCCCGGCAGGGAAGGGGCTGCGGTGGGCGGCGAGTGCCCGGCGGGCTCCGACCCCCCCGGGCCGGGCGCGGGTGGTGCTGAAGGGACAGCGCCGGTGGCCGGGCCGGCCGGGGGGCCCCATCTCCCATTTACCCCCGTCTATCTCTGCCTCCCATCTCCTTCTGCCCCATCTCCCCTCGCTCCTCCATCTCTCCTCTGCCTCCATTCCCCCTTTACCCCCATCTCTGCCCGGTTTCCCCCCTCCCCGCATCTCCTCTCTTCCCCATCTCCTCTCTGCCTCCCCATCTCTCCTTGCTCTCCATCTCTCCTTGCTCCCCATCTCCCCGTGGTTCTCCATCTCCCCTCGCCCCCCATCTCCCCTCGCCCCCGCGCCCAGTGCAGGGTCACTGGCACTGCCACTGTCACCACGGGCAGGGGCGCAGGGGCTGCTCTGTCTCCTCCTCTGCAAACCTGCCCTCCGCCGGAGCCGCCTCTGGCTGCCTCCCCTGCTCCCCCGCGGGGCCAGGCGGGGGGCTCCTGGCACTGCAGAGCCTTAATTGCCTGGTAAGGTCACTAATTTCGGCTCCCGGAGGTAAGCCCCGCTCGCCGGCTCGTTTCGCCGTCTCCCCCGGTTCCCACACCCCTTTCTCATCCCCTCTCCAGTGCCATCAATCAGCCCTTTGCCCCCCGTGGGGAGGGTCCGCACCGGCGATGCCCCAAAGGCCGGGCAGCTGAGTCAGCATCGCCGCAGCCCCACTGACCCAGGCGCGATCCCAGCTGCTCCCGCCCTCCGGCTCCGCCGCGCCGGGAAAAGTGAGGAACAATGGGATTCCCGGAGCACTGCCCGGCTCCACCATTGCGGGGCTGGGGGAGGCAGGGGAGAGGGCGGTGGGAGGGAGGAGGGCGGAGGGCAGAGCCCCTCTCTGCCCGGCCCGAGGGGTGCCCGCTGCCCATCCCCTCCCTGGACCACGAGCCGCACGCCGGGGAAGGGGAGGGGGAGCGGGTGGGTGGGTGTTTGGGTATGAGGGGGGCTGTTGCTCCAACCTGATCGAGTCCATTTGCCAATTCACCACTCGCATCACTTCCGGAGCAGTCCCCAGTTTCTGCTGCAGAGTGAGCATTTTTTTTTAATTATTTTTTTAATTTTTTTTTTTTCCTCTCTCTCCTTTTCCCTCCCTCCCCATCTGGATGCTGGGAACTTGAAACCTCCTCCCTTGATTGCAGCAGGATCTGCCCCATCCTTTTCCCTCAACTTTGCGCTGCATCAAAGAGCCACAGGCTGGCCGGTGGCTGTGATGGGGGCAGGGGACCTGCGGGGCACAGCCCTTTGCAGCTGATGCTGCCGTGTCTTTAGGACCCAGAGCCATCGCTTTCCCATCGCTTCCCCTTTTTTTTTCCCCACCTCTCCTCTCCCCGCGTGTGTGCTCGTGTGTGTGTGTGTGTGTGAAGGACCCTCCTGGTTACTGCTGTTGTTATTCCCCCTCGGCAGGGAGACCACCCGAGCCATGGCTGAGAGGAAGCAGAACGGGCGGCAGGGCGAGGAAGAAGAGGTGCCAGCCTTCTTCAAAAACCTGGGCTCGGGCAGCCCCAAGCCCCGGCAGAAATTCTGTGGCATGTTCTGCCCGGTGGAAGGTTCCCTGGAGAACAAGACCATCGACTTCGACTCGCTCTCGGTGGGCCGAGGATCCAACAAAGTCGTGGCAAAGCAGAAGGATGTTGCCCACCTGGGTCCGGATGCTCCGTCCGTGTATTCCAGGCAGAGCGGGAAGGGAGGGGAACCATCTGTTGATTTCGGGAGAAAGGTGGAGATCAGGAGTGCCACGGGGAAGGAGGCGCTGCAGAACCTGAATGACAAGGTGGGTGCACGTATTTATATCCGTGTGTGTGTGTGTGTGAGGTGAACTCGAGCACACCGCAGGCTGCAGAGGGGATGGATCCCTTCACATCCAGCTTTTGCGTCCCCTGCATCCATGTGGCAGCCTGTGGGAAGCAGCATCTCTCCCGGAGCCTTCTCTCCAGACCTCTCTGCAGGTCTGTGTGTGTGCACAGGGAGGGGGCAGAAGAAAACAGGAGCCCCCCCTGCCCCCACAAACACCCTTCCCTTCCCCTCCCCGCCCTCCTGGTTGAGGAGAAACCCCGACTTTTCTGCTCCTTGGGCAGATTCCCCCGGCACAAGGGCAGGGAAATGCCCCACCCAGGCGGCGAATGCAGCTCACAAACGCGATTGTTAAGCAAAGGAGCATCAATGAGCCTCCACCTACAGGGATCAAATCCCTGCAGGATTCTTCCAGGGGAAACACCTGCCCCTCCTCCCAGGCACCGGGGTGACCCCTGGGAGCTGTATTTCCATACCAGTTTTAAGCAGGGCCTCTGGCTGCAGTGGGAATTTTTGACTCGGGAAGATCTGGGACTTTGACAGGAATGTGGCATTCTCCTAAAAACCCACTGAACTCCTCCCAGCTTTTTAAGACTCCTGAGGATGTTTTCTCACTCCCTGTATGTGCCAGGCTGTCATAAAGCCCATCCCCTTCCTGAGGCAAAACCCACCGAACCCAGAGGTCTGGCTGATCGTGCCCACTTGGTTTTCACCAATACATAGATTTAAACGAGCTTTATTCAGAGCTGAGCCATGGAATACTCCGGGCACTCCTCTGACAATGCTGGCTCCTCTGCAGAGGCTGGAAGAGCAGGAATGAATGAAGCAAAACCCACCAGCAGACTGATGAACTCCTGGCTCTGGGCAGGAGTTTCTCCCAGTGGGTTTAGAGCAGCCCTGTCTTCTGGAAGCTGTTTCTAGGATGTGCCTCCTGATTTTTAATACTGGTATGGGTTGCCTGTGCAGGGCAGGAATCTGCCTGGAATTCAGAATATGGGCTCGTTCATCCCTTTCCCCTGCTTTCAGAAAAGTATTCCTGGAGGTCATATTACAAAAACAGAAATCAGGGACTCACCCTGCCTAAATCAGCCCCTGCTGCAGAGACCCCAAGGCTCCATCCACCCTGTTTCCATCCTCGAGCTGCTCTCCTGAGCTCACAAAGGCAGGCCCAGCTTTGCACAAGTCCTGCACACCAGCCTTAATTAGGAGGGGGATGTGCCCCACGCTGCTCCAAAGCTGATTTTCCAAACCCAGACAAAAGTTTGCCACTCCACATGCCTGAGGTTCGCTTTGACCATGTTGGAGTGCCTACTAATGGAGTAGTTTTCCATGATTGATTAGTCTCGTTGGACTAATCAAGGTGCATCTCAAGAATAAAGGGCCTTTTCATCTTGAGGAGTCAAAGGTTCTGCAATTCAGGAGACTTTAAGAACTAATTTTGGACAATCTGATGTCCTGTGGGACAGAAGTACAAACTGGTGATATATCAATTCTGAAAAGATCAATTATTTTCTGATTAAATGGTACCAGCATAATAAAAACTTTAAGTACAGTACTGTGAAAAAGCAGAATCCACACAGAATATTAATAACAGTTTTTAAAAATTGTGGGTTTTGGTTCTATTTTTAAAGATTGGTGTATAAATGTTAATTGAGGGTATGAAACAGTGGGATGGTGCAAAACACTTGAGTTGTTTCTCATCAGCTTAACAAAACACTGATGCCAGTGGATGGTGTTGTGAGGGGTTG